TTTTGGTTAATATAATTGTTATTTTCCGCTATTCATTTTCAATTCTTTTTTTTTAGTTGTTTCAGGGATTTCAAATCATTTTATATAGTGGATAATGGAAGTCCGAACTAGTGAAATTCATCATGAAACATTGTCAATCACTTTCAAACAAAAGTTAAAGACAGTATTGTAATTGAATCAACCTGTAAATGTATACAAAGTTGGACTTTCTCTGTTCGATGAGAAAGAAGAAATGTTCCTGATTATTAATAATTGATATTTTGGAAGAGCCGTTAGTCACTTCAATTATTGTAATCAACCCATAGATGACAATAATTGACAGGTGAAAATAAAACAAAATGAAATTCGAAAATATAATAATGGCAGTAAAAAATGTTGACTACAGTTATAAATGAGGTGATAACTCTGCTTCAAGTGGAAAGCCATGGTTTCTGAAAAATAAATCAAGAAGTTTTACATCAAATTCAGAATCTGAAGTATTGAAATTATATTTTTTCGAAACTTTGTCAAGAATGCCCTATCGAAACTCTTGATAAAAACATATTGATAAATATAACCTCACAACACATAACTTTGCCTCTATTCAATCTTTTAGAAAACCTCAGGCATCTAATCAATTGTTACATTCATGAAATAATTACACAAGTTTACAATAAAAAAGCTGTCTTTCAACTGATTTCTATGTATTAAGGTGTTCTGGAAAAAAAATACTGAAAATATTCCAGAATAGTTTTATAAACAAGCGGTTTTTTTGGGCTTGATGTCATAAATAAATAGGTGCAATTTCATTTTTATTGCTGTTTTTCAATGTATACAGTCCATAACTACCATTACTTTCTAAATAAAAAACGCCCTGTACCCATCTTGGGCCTACTTTGCCCAAGATGGCAGACTACTGTTGAGATGCTTCCTACAAAAGAAAAAGGAGTCTCACTGGGAGAAAGAAATGTGGTTAGTGCTTACTATTGAATGTATTTCAAACAAAGACATGAATTTTCTTACGCAATTGTGAATATAGAAAATTTTTTCAGTCTATTATCTATCATTTTAAGATGATAACTTCTTTAACATAGATACCTACATTGTCAGGCAATATGACGTTCTATAACAAAATGAGGGTCATTTTCGAATTCCAATCATATTAATAATAATAATAATAGCTATATTGTGCATAAATTACACACAAAAGGTAGGGGTTAGCCTATGGCTATCCTCCACCCCTCCTGCTAAGTAATACAAATAACATTTATGAGCAATAAGGTAATTACCTAATATAATTCAATTTTCTTCAGCGGCAAAATTAACGGGCACGATGGCAATCTTGAGACCTTCCTTGACCATTTCGTTTGAGTCTTTTGGATGGAGGTTTCACAGTTTCGCCTTTGATCTTCGAAATCTTGATAGTTACTAACGATGCTAATATTATCGCTCGTTTCATCATCATCAGATTCGTCAATTTCATCATCACTTTCTATTTCATCCCATAAGGACTGAAGACGGGCCATTTCTCGCTCATAATCACCTATTTCTATCGCACAATTTTGGAACGTATAGAGACATGTGGGGTTTCGTGCACCCCAGTCGCTTTATAACAGGTCTGATTCATACATACGTCAAACGACAACTGATTTGAGATGTGAATATGAGAGTGGAGACTATATGCGGAAGCTTCTAAATATATTCGACGGTGGGGGGCCAATTTCGAAAAGTTATATGGAATTTTCTACGGCTGGGGTATGTCACACCCCACGTGTCGGACGCAGGGTTGATTGACAAATTCACTGTTCGGAGTTTATAAAGTGATTTTTTGGTACCATGTCCGACTTTACGAATGCTGAAATGGCTGATATGTTTTTCGCATACGGCTTGGCTAACGGAAATTCAAGCGAGGTCAGACGCATCTATCAGGAAAAGTATCCCCACCGCGTGACTTCTTGCGTGACTCCTTTGCGAATCTTTTCCGGTGACTTTCTGAATCTGGAAGCTTTGAAACAAATTCTGCAGTAGGACGGCCACGGACTACAAGAACTGTAGAATTGGAGGAGGCGGTTCTCGAAGAAATTAGTGAACATCCAGAGACACGTACAAGAAAAATTGGTCAAACTCCAAATGTGAGTCACATGACAGTTTACAGAATTTTGAGGGAACAGCAATTATATCCTAATTATATTCAGCGTGTCCAGGCACTTACGCTACGTGATTTCCACCCATGTATCGAATTTGCTCAATGGCTTCAAAGAAAAGTCAAACAACATCCTCAAATTTTATCGAAAATCCTCTTCACAGATGAGGCAAATTTTTCAAGAAATGGTATCATGAACTTCCATAACAACCACATCTGGGCGGAAGATAACCCACATGCGATAACGCAAACTCATTTCCAAGGCAGATTCTCTTTTAATGTATGGGTAGGCATAATTGGGGATTATTTAATTGGTCCCTATTTTCTTCTGTTTTGTTTAAATGGAGATGCTCACCTACATTTTTGGAACACGAGCTTCCCCAACTTATGGAAGATGTTTCCATTGGTCTCCGAAATCACTTCTGGTTTATGCACGATGGAGCTCCTGCTCATTTTAGTGTGATAGCAAGAAACTTTTCAGACGTAACATATCCCCAACGATGGATATGTTCGTCGATTTTTTTTGGGGACACCTAAAATCACTAGTTTATGCTAGCCCTATTGAAATCGAGGAAATGTCGAGGCATCGCATCATAACTTGCTGCGAAACGATAAGAAACACTCCGGTATTTTTCAACGGGTGCGGAATTCTTTGATGAGGTGAGCAGAAGCATGTATTACTGTTGCGGGTCGTCACAGTTGTTGTAATAGTTGTTTCGTTCAATTTTCATATGTTTATTTTCCCAATAAATAACATAGTACTTCTCCGAATTGGTTTTTTCACAAACTCCGAAATGTAGCACTTTCTGATTGAATAATTAAACCTGATATTTTTTTTTATTTGAATTGAATAAGCAGTTCGATAATGTTCGGTTTAGGATAAGTCTGTACGGGTATACTGCGTATAAATTCAGATGAAAATAACTAAAATTGCATAAAACTTATGACAAAAACCTACCATCTTTCTTCGTTAAACATTTTATAGGAAAAAGTTGTTTATTTTGACGAGATCCACCACATACTTAGTTTTTGTAATGTTCTCAGCAACTTCACTTAGCGCCCTAGGAGCTAAGTGATATGCATCAATATAGAAAATTGAAAATATTTTGAAAACGATCACCTCCAGCGTTGTTGAAGAGGTGTACCTTTGCATTTGGAAAAGGTGTGGGAATTAGGTTTTTTTATGAAAAGTACCAAAAGTTTACTGTCGAAAAAGTTAGGGCACAGCGTACGCAGCGCCCCCTCGATGTTACATAGAAAGTGATACGAAATTATGATTTCCCACGTCAAAAAAACTCCGGGTACCGAATTTCGTGCGAATAACTTATTTTTTGCGAGAGTTATTTTTTAAAAGCGAACTAAAAAATTCATTTTCAACATCCTCAAATTTTATCGAAAATTCTCTTCACAGATGAGGCAAATTTTTCAAGAAATGGTATCATGAACTTCCATAACAACGGGGTAACAATTTTTTGGTTCTGATTTATTTCTGCTAACCTCTACAATGTATTATCTACCCTCTAAGTAACTTACAAACCATTTGTGAGTTATTTTCCTGATTCCATACGTATCAAGCTTTGTTAGGAGAATTTTGTGATCTACCCGAACAAATACCTTACTTAAGTCTATGAAAATCCCTAGCGTCTTTTAACTTTCATTCAACTCACTGTTCACGTTGTTGTGTATTCGCTTGACTTGTGGACAATCCGTTGCGAAAACCAAACTGGTTCACATCAAATAGACACTATTTATTAAAAAAAGTTATCATATCTTTAGGCTCAAAACATATTTTTCATACATTTTGAGAATGTGCTAACGAGGGAAATTGGCCTGGAATTTTGTATGTCAGTGTCATTTCCCTTCTTATGAATTGGCACAATTTTTGAAATCTTCCAAGGAGCAACTGATGAAGTAGAAAAGAGGTTCAGCTATGAAATTTTTGCATTTTTCAGTATATTCGTACTTATTCCGTCGTCACCGGTGAAATTTGAGTGGCTTAGATTAATGACAATGGCTAGTATATCAAACTCTGTGGCAGGTATGGAGTAGAGGGATACGTCGCTCTCAGTAGGGTTCACATGGGGATCAAAGTAAATTTTCAGTGATCATAAGTGTCACACATAGTGAGCAACCAACCTGTTATTTGGTAAATGTTCTCCAGACCAAGCCAAAATTCACCACCAATGTTTCCGAATCCAGTCTTGTACTCATGCCAATTGAGAAAAAAGTCTTGAGATCCATCGTATCTATTGTGGATGTAGGTCCAGCCGCCGTCTCTAGTTTCCATGTCACAGAGTACCAGGAACGGTTTGTGAGCATGTTCTGGTTGGATTTGGTATATTCCAGAATCTGTAACGCCTGTAAATGAATGTATTACGAATAAATTCATCCAGTTAAACATAGTGATCATGAGTCAAACTTAGATAAATAACAACACCCAAAGAGTATGGGAGTTCCTACTTGATCGGAAGGGGTAGATAACCTACATATCTCTTCATCAAAGTGTATGAGTTGTATGATGCGTGGTGGGTGATGAATGAACGATGAACGACAAATGACGAATGACGTATGAAGAATGACGAATGATGAATGAAGAATTATTCATATTGCATTATGTATGTATGATGGGTATGATATGATGCATAATGCATCATGTATGTATGATGAATAAGTTGTATGATATTTATGATGTATTTGAATTTGATTCATATGATGTGTGATATGTGTTCTGTATGATGTATATGATGAATGATATATGATATATAACGATATTGAGAAAATCCAAAAAATCTAATCGACACCTCTTCAAAGTGTATAAATTGTATGATGCGTGGTGGGTGATGTATGATGAATGACATATGATGAATGCCGGATGACGAATGATGCATGATGTATGATGAATATGATGTATAATGCATTATATATGTATGATGAATATGATGTATAATGTGTGTGATATGGCGCATATGATGCATAATGCATCATGTATGCATGATATTAATGAAGCATATGATGTATTTTATGCATATGATGTACGATGTGTATTGTGCATAATGTATATGATGAATGATATAAAACGACACTAAGGAAATCCAAATAATTCACACCTCTTCAAAGTGTATAACTTGTCTGATGCGTGGTGGGTGATGTATGATGAATGATGAACGATGAACGGCGAATGATGAATGACGAATGGTGAATGAAGAATGACGAATGATGAATGATGTATGATGAATATGGTACATAATGCATTATGTATGTATCAGTTCTGAAAAAATTTTTTTTTTGAAATCTGTTTTTCTTTCAACCGGCTATCGCACCCCTACGAACGAGGTCTTATCTTTTAACGTGTGATTCCTGACACGGGTTGGACGACAGCAAGTGAAAATCGATCGTTCACACTAGGGCACTAGGGCTCAACCACCGACCAACACGACACTCAATTCGAGTGAGTGAACAAAGCACCCACGTTGAACCGCCTGGCTACCGACCGATTATGAATATTATGTATGATGAGTATTTTATGATGAATATGATGCATAATGCATCATGTATGTATGATGATGATGTATGATGAGTATGATATGTATGATGTATATGATGTATTTGATGCAAATGATGTGTGATGTGTATTGTGCATGATGTATATGATGAATGATATATGAAATATTACGATATTAAGAGCACCTTGGCACCTTCAATCACACGCACCTCATGAAACGAAATAATGAGAACTCACCCCCATTCTGAATATCCCTGCAGCTCCTGGGAACCCTCGATTTCGGGTATTCACTTTTGGTGAACAGGCCATTTGGTATAGGAGGGTAATGTTGATCATGATTAATATCCAACAAAGAGTTCGTTAGAAACTGCTTGGTAACTAAATCTTGTTGATGACGGCGAATGATACTGAAACAGTTCTGAATGTAGGAAATATCAAAGGACTAAGTATTCATAATTTCATTTGGAAGAATGATATATTTCTTTATTATTTTGAAATTTTTCAATTTTTCAAAAATACCTATATCTGGTAAACTTCGAAATACACTTTGTATTTGATGATATTATTTTTTGAAATGACTATGATACTTGGATTGGTAATCCGTTTGAATTGCCCACTTACATGTATTTTGGTGGAAGAGGAACTAGTTAAGGATGAGTTCAAGATCAATCATTACTTGGTGGAACCACACCACAATTACTGTATCAGTAACTGAGTGGATTATCAATAATCCACCTGGATTTTATGAAAAAAATGTTTGTGAAACTCATGCTGACCGAGACAGAAGAGGAGGTGAGAAGAGGTTGAAGCACTTACTCAACAGCATCCATAGATTCATAACGAGCTCGTCATGTATCCAGTGTTTCATTATCATTCTCATTATTATAAAGTTATACGAGAGTGTGTCATACTCAATCGAACTAACCTCGTCTCAACGGCGATTGACGAAACATTATTCTTGACCGAACCGATGTCAGAATTCAAGGTCCTCAAAGCAGCCACCACAAGCTGGACCCCCTTCACTAGAGTATCCACTCGAGACTCCAATTTCTCGTCGACCTGTCGCTGACCCCCTTCATGTTGCGACCGCAGGGGCGGGCTTGAATCCCAGAATCTGCCAAGTTCACCCCTGAAAGCTGTGAAATTTATTATACAGTGTTAGTCGGGATATTGAAAGGGTTCAGTAGAACTTCTAATCAAGTATTGAGTGATATTGGGTATCATTGGTTTTCATCGAAAAAACAGTACTGTCGATTATTCGAAATGAAATTTCATGCACATTACTTCATGACATACGTTCACATAGGACATGCTAACCTCATATTCGATTTAGAGAACAAGTCGATATTCAGCGTAGGGATGTGACGTTATGTTAGCTACGTTTTCAGATTGCCAGTGGCGGCTCATTTGCCTCATCACCATGTTATATTTGCCATTGGCGTAATACATTTCAGTCTATACAACTTTGTTCATTGTTATGACTCATTTGTTGGTTATAGTAGAATGAATTCTATGAGTTAGAAAATTCAGAGGTTGTTTATCCGGGAGACTTTCCTTAGGATTGCATTTTGTATTATTTGGTTCAATCACAGACTGTTCTGGCAGTTCTCGGATGGCTTGCGGATCCATTCGGCTTGTCTATTTCACATCTGAGCATAACTGACTAAACCAATACTCATTGAGGACCAATGATTATGCGGATTTAGATTCGTCGAGACTCCTTTGTTCGAGATACTCTATACCTAGTGCGCTGACTTTGATAAATCCACCTGAAAGTACCAGAGAAACTACCCGTGGTTTGTTTCGCTTGGTTTCCAGGTTTTGCCGAGGTCTTCTTTGATTACAATCACCAAAAGTTTCAACCGCAACTTTGGCAGTCATCTTCAGTGGCGTGTTCGAATTACTCTCCTTGACAATCGTCTTCACAATCGTTATCACTCGAAGACGATTGTGGATACTAACAATCGAAACGTCGTAAAGTAACTTGGAATCTCTTAATTTTCATTTCTTTTTTTTTTGTTTCATCTCGTTTTATTAGTTAATTTTTTTTATTTTTTGGTTGTTGCTTGTATTTTATTTCATTGCATTTCAGTTTTTTTGCTCAATATCATTGTTTTTTTCAGCTAATCTTTTAAATTTTTTACAGATTGTCTCAGGGATTTCAAATCAATTTATATCATGTTAGACACTGGAAGTGCGAAGTGATGAAATGTAGGGAAGCTTGTTTATTTTACCCAATGCATGCAAATGTGAACGGTGATCATGCTTTGATCATGCATCTATCATTGTTTGGGTGACTTTTTTGTAATATGGATATAGTTTAGGTTTTTATACTACCAGTGGCGGCCCATTCGCTATATTCGTCATGACTATTATACATTGAAGTTATACTATTTTTTACCACAATATTTCACCAGCAACTACACTCCGGAAATGTACCCTTAGTAGTAGGAGAATGGATACTCAAGATGCTCTCTAGTGGAGCAATAAGTATCAATGTAGATGACATCACAGTGAAAGGACTGGTCATGAGGGGATTTCCATAGGAAGGGGTCTTATCACCCCTTCTTTGGAACATAGTTCTGGATACCCTGATTAATCACCTCAACAATAATGGTTTCTATACAATTACATATTCAGATGACATAGTTATCTTGCAGATCGGCAAATTTGTGAACAGACTGTGCGATAGAGCGCCGGATGGACTCAAATTGATAGAAACATGGTGTAAGGAACACTCACTGTCGATCAATCCCAAGAAGACTGAGATGGTCCTTTTCGACAGGGAAAAAAGTTTATCGGGCTTGAAACTTCCCGATATCTTCAAAAGGAAACTAAACTTCTCTGAAGAGGTGAAGTACCTTGGTACTATCCTCGACAAGAAGCTAACATGGAACACTCACCTACAGAGAAGAGCAAAAAGAGCATATGTGGCTTATGAGCGATGTCGGACAGTGGGACGCGCATGGGGTCTTTCACCCCATGTGGTCACAGTGAATCTACACTGCAATAATAAGATATATCCAAAAATTATATCAAATACAGCGACTGCTTGTTTAAACACCACAAGAGACATGAGAACAACACAAACCGCGGCAATGGAATTAATTAGGGGTCTGACTCCTCTGGAGCTGTACGTTGAGGTGGTTGCGTTAATGGCCATGCTACGATTGCGCACGGCTGGTGTAAACCTCAAAGTAGGAATGGATCAATTGAGGCTGGGCCTGTGGCGGGAAGCGCTTACTGCGCAACATTTGTTGCAGGCAACCGGTGATGTAATTGAACCCAGGTATGTGTTTAATAAACCCTACAAAACACGAACAAAACAGAACACAGATGACTCAAAAACCAAAAAAGGCTCAGGATGTAGAGTGTACTCCAGATCACTATGCCTAAGGATTGAGTGGGGAATGGGAAAAGATACCAGCATGGTCCCAACAGAACTGGCTGGTATCTCAAGCGCCACAAAAGAAATAACCAGGAAAGGACTTGCTAGCAAAAACATAACAATCTGCACTGGCAGCAGACAAGCCCTATTAGCCTTGAACAGACTGGGCTAGTACTAGAGTGACCACAAGATTCAGCCAAAGCCTCCATAGATGATACCATTATCCTGAGTTGGGTTAAAGGACACGATAGGAGTAAAGGTAATCGCATTGCCGACTCTTCAGCCAAGGAAGCGGCTGGATTAAGAATTTTAGGACCCAGTGGCACCTACGGCCTGATAACTTCGACAATTGCGGTACCAGCCAAATGTTACACCCATGCTCAATTCCTGAAGAGATGGGGTGGAATCAAGGGATGCAATCTTGCCAGGATTACCTTGGGCGATCCTGGGAAGCTGGCGCCGAAGAAATATCTGGCGATGACCAAGAAAAATCTACGCTTCACCGTAGGATTTCTGACTGGCCACTATCAACTGGGGAAACACCTCCATAATATGGGGCTAATGGACATGCATGATGTGTGAACAGGAAGGTGAGACTCTCAGGCATGTCCTATGCGAGTGCCCGGAGTTACCGTCAATGAGAGAGTGTGTGTTCGGCGAGTCTTGGCCTACACCTGCCGATATAAAAGAGATGTCTCCCAGCTCCGGGGGTCGACTCAATAACCAACAAGTTGTTGAAGAGACTCCCGGAAAACTGCGTTGAATTCCTTCTGAACTCAATCAACAGTTCGTTGGCCCTCAGACACTTCCCTAGAAGGTGGAAGCATGCGATCGTCGTCATACTCCCAAAACAGGGTCAGAACCAGCTGTTCCCGCAGAATTATCGCCCGATCAGTCTACTCTCGTTGGCGGCTAAGCTGGCTGGAAGAGTTGTTCTGCAAAGACTCAACGAAGAAGTTGAGGACCGAAATGTTCTGCCTAACGAACAATTCGGCTTCAGGAGGGATCACTCCACTGAATTACAGGCTCTAAGATTGGTCGAAAATACCATCAGCGAGCTTAACACAAATAAGAAAGTGCACATTGTGTTGCTAGATATCTCGAAGGACTTCGACCGAGTATGGCACGAAGGCCTTCTGCACAAGTTAAACGCGTTCGACCTACCTCGGGGCCTAATCCGGTGGATCGGGTCTTTCCTGAAAGACAGAACTTTTCAGGTCAGAGTAGAGGGCTCTCTGTCTGATAACAGAGATATCCTCGCTGGAGTGCCACAGAGGGCCGTGCTTCCATGAGTCGAGAGCTCGGCGTCGTCTACATGCAACGTGCATTGGACGACCTCGAGCGCTGGTACCTCGATAGGAAGATCCGAGTGAATCCGGAAAAGACTCAGGCGATAACCATGGGAAGATTACTATCTTCTCCGGCCAGAAAAGTGAGAATCTCTGGAAGGGAGATTGAATGGCAAGCGCGGGTAAAGTACCTCGGCCTTCTAATAAACCGTAGGCTCACTTGGAACCCGCACATCATGTGCGTTAAGTCAAAGATCGAGGGTCGGATAGCTAGTCTGTACTCTCTGGAAAATAGGAAATCTAAATTGAGCACAAAGAAAAAAATCACCATCTATAACACGATGTTCAAGCCTGTCATCATGTATGCTTCAGACGTCTGGGTACAAGCGGCTCCGTCCAACATTTCCATTTTGGAAAGGTTGCAAAATTAGTTGAATAGGATGATTGTGAATGCTACTTGGTTCGTGCGGAATGAAGCCATCCGCAGAGATTTGCAGCTGCCTTCCATTCGGCAGTCCATCCAGTCGAGGAATCAGAGAGTTTTTGAAAGTACGGAAACTCACGAAAACCCGTTAGTTAGGGAAGTCACAGATTATGCTGTAGACGACCCCTCCCGATATAGAAGGCCCCGACACTCTGTCGAATGAGGCCCTCATGTCCCCCGTTAAAGGATGAACAACTTTCTCATCCATCCCACCCCAGCCAGGTAGGGATATCCCGTAAAGGGCGGCACTGATGTCTAAGGACTTCATGCCGTCATACCATCAGTCATGAACCCATTGGTCCCTCTTGAGACCAATAATCAGCCGAAAGGGTAGGGGAGCTGGACTCCAAGCCTGAATGAAACGAGGATAACCTTATGAGAGATGTCTCCCAGTGACCTGTCCACCTTCCTGGAAAGGACAGGATGGACGATGACCTAGGAAGACAAATCCTCAGGAGGATGTACAATGGGTCACATGTGGCCTAAGTGCTGTGGGCCTACACTCACCCTCCCTACTCTACATATACAGAGATGCACATATATATGGGGTTCATTTCACAGCATATGTCATAAATATCTGATGTATTCGATAAAATTATGGTAGTTTTCAGAAACAAATTTCTTAAAGTATCCTTCGATATGTGGATAAGTTCTCTTTCTGACGAACAAATGTGAATTTTGTACATTCTGTTATGAGCATGATCTTGACCGTGTGAATCATGCCTTGATGATCGAATGTTTTAAGCGAATATCAAGTATCTTCATTGTTAAAAAAACAAGTATGAATTTATAACCGACAATTCCATTGTGAACGATAGGAAAACATAAAAAACCTCTCAATACAATGTCCTGATTTCTATAAATAATAGTTGTTTACATTTGTCGAAGAACCAGCTGTGAACATCTTGAAACATGAAGGACTTTCGATTAGAATTAACTTGTGGAGAATTGATCCTGTTATGTCAGAAAATATAT